GCAGGCGGATCTCTGTGAGTTCGAGACCAGCCTGGACTACAAGAGATAGTTTCAGGACAGCCTCCAAAGCCACAGGGAAACCCTGTCTTGAAAAACCAATAAATAAATAAATAAAAATAAAAATAAACCTTCTGCGGTCATCGTAACTGCTGTCTTTGAGGAAAGCACATTAGAGGTGGGTGCTTGCCCACCGGAAACGACCAGCGGTAACCCTGGGGCCTTCTGCCTTCCACTCCACGCAAGGGAGATGCCGAACCTGATGAGCGTGTAGGGATGGGGGTGGGGGGGCGTTGGGAGAGCTATTAATTAAACAAACAGCCTCAAAATACTGAACTCTTCTTTTACCAAGAACCAGGAATTACCCATTAAGAAACAAAAATAAACAGGCCTCTGAGAAATTAGCCTGTATCCCCTCTCGGATTTCAGAACTTCCCTCCTACAGAGGCATTTATTACATTTGAAGACAGCTTGTGCTGCATCTAAACCTGCTGACATAGCATCCAGGAGGCAGAGGAAAGATGTATACATTTTATTTTACATTAACATTAAACAGATGGAAGCGGGGCCTTAAAAAAAAAAAAAAAAACTCTGTTAGCTATGATGCAAAAATAACAGTTTTAATATTTTACATAAGAATTGCTTTTATGTCATTTAATGGCAAAGGGGACTTAAGAAGGCTGAAAATTCTCAGATAAACATTACCATATTCTCCACTTCGGCACTCTGTCGCACAGACCACTGGAACATGCCCATGAGCGTGAGGGCGTAGGATAAGGCCAAGCCAACTTGCCCAGCATCCAACGCTTTTGGGGAGGAAGGAGAGAGGACAGTCAGTCTCAATGGTAACCCGAGCCTGCTGCCGTCAGCTACCTTACCAAGAGGACCACCAAGTTGTATACAACAAAAGTAATCTTTACATTTCTATTTGTTGACCGAGGTCATGATGCAATTTAAAAAGCCCATTCTGAATGGTGAAAGGCTGCCAGATGAGTTTATTAATCTCCGCAGGACCGACACACGTTTGAGAAAGGGCATTGTACTCGTGAGGCACAGTGTTATTATTCAAACTTGTCATTATGGTTTAAAGCCTGTGACGTAATCCCACTGTCTGTGTCCCATGTAACCGCAGTTGGAAACCACTGCAAACAAGATGATGTGTTATAGGAGTCAATGCTTTTGAAAGTAAAACACGACTCCCATTGTTCTATTAATAAACATTGTAATTCAGTGGTGTCGTTGTAGAGGGTTAGGCATGGCGAATTCATGCCACAAGTGTCAACACCTGCTCCTCTGGTGCCCACCTGGCAGTGAGCAGTGTTCCTTCAGTGGGCATCTCTCTCACCCATGTGCATAGGGACATCAACAAACCGAGGAGCCCCAAGGATCAAATGTTTAGCCCTAGTCTGGACAAAATGTTAACAGTGAACTTGGGTCTCATCTCCCGGCTTCCAGATCAGTATTTTCAGAATGCCATGGTATAGACCTCAGCTCATTCTAACAAAGATAAAAAGAACTTATCCAGACTCTCTCACGGGGTCCTACTGCAAGATCCTACCCACCCTGACACGTTGTAAAAGCTTTAGCACACTTTATTAAAACCATTAGACAAGGTGGCAAGAGTTTAATTTAACAACTGTAAACACAGCTATAAATTGTAATCATACCATAAATAGCAATCCGCATCTGCACTTACTTTTTGCCAGAATCAGGGACCCAAAGGCCACGACGATGACAAAAACGGCACAGATGGCGTCCAGACGCACGGCAAACCATCTCGACGTTGTCAGAAACAAGAACCAAGCCTCTGGATTTTCAAACCACAATAAACACGGTGAGTGAGCACTGACACCATACTAACAGCAGTGAGTGTGAAGGGCACTGAGACGCTGAGACAGAGCCAGGCAGCGAGGGCGCACACACAGCATTTCTAGAAAGCCAGGAAATGCAAAGCGGGGTACAACACATACATACCCCAGACAGTACACAGGCTTTGCAAAAAAAGAAAAGAAAAAAATGGAAAGATACAATTAAGAGGTAACAAGCATATATATATGATGCTTGCATATAATCATAATAAAGATATGGAAAGTGGTTTTCTGTTTCTTGAAGTACTGGGCTATCATATGAAGCCCACCAGCTTATAGGTTGTCTGTTTCCAGTTCAACAGCTCCCAATTTGTCTCCAATTCTTCCCTTACTTGAGCGTTCTGCACACACAGGGATCGGGGATGGGACACAGCTTAGGGGCTAAAAGGAGCCTTGTGTAGTTTTAAAGTGTCCTCCAGTCATCAAAACCCAATAAAGCTGGGGCAGATTTTACAGACTTGAAGGGAATTCTGAAACTTCTGGGAGGGAAGAACTCACACAAACACAAAGAGTAATAAGTCATATCTCTCAACCTGTGTGCATCAGTTGAGTAATGGTTAGCCATCTATGGACCATAGGCCAAGAACACCAACTGAATGGCTAGAATCTATGGTCCATGGGCCAAGAAGGGTCCATCACTTTTTTGTGAAATCAAGTTTTCACAAAGCCCATGCTGATGTATCACTGGCATTTTGCTTCCACTCTTACAGCAACAAAGGAAGAAATTGCAGGGGGATCTGATAGATCTCACTGTAGGAAACATTTACCAGGAGGCCTTTTATAAAATGCGTCTGCTGACAGAGGCCCTAAACAGACAGAGAGCCACAGGGCACTGAGGTGGAAGGATTGAGCAAGGCCATCAGAAGAAAGCCAGACGTGAGGAGAGACTCTAAGAGGGTTTGGAGCCTAAGAGCAGATGGAGAAGGCATGGGTCCAGGAGCAAGCAGGTGTAGGTCACCAAAGCCAATCGCCTATAGGCGTCAGCTGCCATGCCAGCCTTTGGTACCACAAACCTGAGTGTAAGTCCTGGTGCGCATCAAACAGCTCCTGGAACCTCTCCTCTGCTTTGTACGCCCGGATGGTCCAGAGTCCCTGAAGGGAGGAGGACAGGTGGGAGAATACCGGACTCCGTGCTGTGGAGACAAGGGACACAGAACAAAAAGCTCAGAGAGGCTTCCTGTGCTCCAGGGTGCAGACACTGAGCACCCAGCAGTGCTCTTGGGGCTTCCCACAGGGCTCTAGGTTTCCAGTCAAAACACTCCCAGAAGCTTGCAGGAGTTCCTGTCCATGCACCCCAAACCCTGGCCAAAGGAACCTTGCTTTAGAGATGGAACGAGTGCTTCTATTCAGCACACCTTTGACCAAAGTCAAACCTCGTTCTGTTCATAGCCCATCCCTAGAGGTCTTTGCTTCCCGATACTTCCTAGCTGTTTCTTTGGGAAGAAATTACTTTTCATTAATGATATTATTATTTTTTACATTTTTGGGCAGTGGTGTTTGGGCAGTAATCTATCCCAGTACTTTAAAGTGAGATATGTATGCATCTTTGCCCATCTTAGATTATCTTAGGGGCTGGAATATGGCTATTGTTTCCTGGGAACTAAAAGGGTACCTGACACAGACAGACAGACAGACAGACAGACAACAAGCAAGCCAAATGGACGGGGTCTCCTCTGCACATCCCAGAGAAGCTTCCTCTGCCCACTTGTGTGAGAACAGTCCTTATCGTCACCATGTCTGGGTGTGGCATTGCACTGATGCCCATACCTCGGACCCAGAAGGGATGAGCTGTCTTTATGACTACCCAACTAGAAACTTATTTTCAAGGTTGAGACTAGTGCATCATGCCTCACTGTCCTTACTTTTCCAGAGTCTCTCTGCAGTCTTGGTGGCTTCATCATCTCACCAGAATTTAAAGGACAAATTCTCCTTTGTCTGTCTTTGACTACAGGGAATGTATGTCCTGCAATGGGATTTTATGTTTCCCGAATATTGCATCACGGTCACCAGGTCCCACCTTACCTGGGGTGGGACATGTAGGCTGTCCACTGTCAGGCCAGGATGGTTCCCTGACAGGCTCATTCTGCACTGTGGATAGGACTGTACCGGGGCCAGAGTAGCAGGAGCCCAGGACCCAGCAAACTGTCTTCAAAGCACTGCTACCTAGCTGAAGATGGACCTGGAACTTAGGATCCTCTGCCTCTACCTCCAGGGGACAGGGATTACAGGTGTGCGCCACCACTGTGCTCAGTTTTATGGTGTTGGGTTAGTGAGGGCGAGACAAGAACTCTATCAGTTGAGTCCACCTCCAGCCCTTGTTTATGCTTTTTAAGTGGTGCTACTGATGAATCATCCTGTCATGTGTCTGTCTTCTAGAGAAGGCCTGTTGGTAAAACATGGAGGGCTTGGAAGATGTGAAGCTCATTTCATAGCTTGCTGCATGTAGTTTATAAAATGAGCGGCAAAATCGAGAGAAACTGCATGCTCATCTTTGGGGCATCCCTGAGCCCGTCTGCGTGACCACACTGTCATCCACTGGCATGTTTACTGTGCACACAGGTGCTGCACGGATTGGTGGTGAGGTATGTGTTAGGGTACATGTGCACCAAGATGGAGAATCGTCTTGTGAGTCAGAGTTCATTAAAGAATACATCTCTGAAGACAAGACACTGGGGTCAGAGAGATGGACAGTCTCTCCAATGAGCATGTGGTCCCTTTCAAATACCTGAGGACGCTCTTTCCCAGCCAGGCTACCTGACTGTGGACACTACCCAAAAGAAGCCTCCGTGGGATATTCCTTTCAGAAAGAAAACATTCTCTGACCAGGCACTTCCCAACCGGGACTGTACCGTATGAAGCACCCCCAGACACCTGGGGGGTGGGTTCCTGAAGGTGCCTGCCCTTCTCAGATGTTCTCACTCTGGCATCCACGCTGTCCCCACTTAGTATGCTGACTAAATGCCTACTTCTCAACAATGGATATGGGAACCTAAGTGGATTGATCTCAGGTTCCAAACAAGAGAGTCACAGGCTCACGTCAGCCTTTCTTGCAGGCCTCCGAGAACATCCCACCTGCCGTGGAATTGTCACTCGGCAAATAAGAGTATCTGCAGAGATGACTTCCCTGTAAATCCCTTTAGTACCAGGAAAATGCCAGCGCCTAGCTTTGGAGCGTCTGGTGAACACAGGAGAACTGCGCCCTCGTTTCCGAGACATGAAAACTTTAACCACAGCTGATGCTGTCAGAGTGGTGGTTGGTGGTTGGTGGGGAAGGTCACACAGTGATGTATCAGCCCCACCCATCCTCACTGTTCCTTATTGAAGTCACCACTGGGTCTCAGTGCTGGGGCTAAGGACTGGTCTACTTTAGAACTCAGGTACCACTTCAGCCGTGAGCACCAGAAACTCAAGGTCAATTTCTGTATTTAAATGCAGCCAAAGAGATCTTTTTTAAAAAAGAAATTAGTGGGGTGGGGGTGGCATGCCTGTCCTGTGGCAATGCCGGTGGGGGTCAGAGGCCAATTTCATGGGAGCTGGTTTATTTCCACCTTTATGTGGGTTCCAGGATGCGATGGGAAGCGGATCAAACCAGATCGGGCAAGCACTATCAGCCACTCAGCCTCCTCACTACCCTGCCCCAAGAGCTCAACCGTGACCCTGTTTCTCCCATGCCCTGCCTCTCTGCTCGGGGCTATGCCCATGCCAGCTGGGTAGACTAAGGGCACTGCAAAGACAATTAGCTAGCACACTAGAGTAGCATGCCACACTGCAGGCTCATCTGGTCTTTTCCCACGTCAGTACAAGAATGTCCTCAAATAGACTATGACACTGGTGGCTTTCCTCGGCCATTTCTGGCAGACAGAACCCCACATTTCACAGTATTGTGGCATGCTCCAGGGCCTGAGACCTCTCTGGGACACAGCCTAAGGGATTATGTTTCTTCTCAGGGAGAAGGCATGGAAGACAGATGCAGGCCACATTCCTGCCCTGCTAGGATACCTTCAGGGTATCGTTAAGTGCTATGGGAGAAGTGTTGCTACTGCTTTCAGTTTCCTTGTACACAAAATTCTATTGCTGCCTTTGGTAGAGGCCAGCAAGGACATCCAGGCATTGCCTCAGGCAATAAGAGTTGTATAGGGCAGGTGCTAGCTAACAGCCTTCACAGAGGGAAGACCACACTACAGGTGCTCTGGCCGCCACACACAACTCCATCTGATCTCCAGTGCATTTTGAATCTGAGCCAGGATCTCAAAAGAAAGGTAATCCTAGTGAAGTATGCTAGGCATCGCTGGATGTATTTTTCTGTAGACGTTGTCACATGGAAAACTCCCAAATCTTGCTCAGCTAATGTCTAATTGGCATCTCCATTACTGGGCTTCTTATTAAGCATCTCCAGTTGAACAATATTCTTGAGAAGCTGACGTGGAACTCTTATTTAAAAGATCAGACTCCAAGACCTGTGTTCTGAAAATGTATGGCACAAGTTAACACTCTGCTGGCTGGCCCCCATGGCAGACATTGCTAATGGATCACAGCACCCTGACAGAAATGGCATATGCCTTCACAATCTAGGTATTACTAAATGACAGGCTCAGCTTGAGATATGCATCCAAGTACTGTTGTGGTTTTATGCAATTCTCTACCAGTGGCCATCACAATGTTTGCTTTCACTAAATAAATAATAACAATAATAATAAAATAAAGGCGGTATGATAAAATCTCACTAAACCCATCTATGCTTCCAGAGGCAGATAGCAAGAGTGCTATCTAAAACTAAACCCTGGGGTTATAAAAACCTGTTGAAGCACAAGGATGAGATAGGTTTATGCGTTCTTGCCACAGCAAACAGGCACCAACAACTATTGCTTGACAGAAAGAGTAGCACTGTAACATAGACCTTCACTCAGACAGATAGCAAGAACCGGTTCATCTGGTTATCATTAAGCTTACTGTTGCAGCCAGCTAGAGTGCTGCAAACCTCAAGAGTCCATCAGAGACCCAGACAAAGGTATGTGAATTTCTAGGCCAAAACTGTATAAAGGTATGTCTTGGGCATCAAGATGGAAAATCCTATACGGAACTGGAAGAAAAATGCTCAGTGGCTCTTGCCACCAACAAAAGTCTATGCCAGGATGTTACTTTTCTCCCAATATGTTCATGGCTGCCTTTCTACAAGACTTGTGAATGAAAGACGCAGAAATGAACAAAGGAGGGTCAGTCAACAGTGCCGACCCTTTACTCTCCGACTTCTCTGAGCCCCAGCTCTGCAACAACACCGAGTTCCCACTGAAACACATCACGACATGGGCTCACAGCAATCCAACTGGTTCCGATGGCTGGCAACTTCTCAATAGGTTTTAGGAACCTGCTTCACTTTACTAGTTATGATAAATGTCTTTACAGTTTATTTAAAAACACACATTAGGTCATGAGAAAAGAAAGTCCTTTGTCCAGATGAACTTATAACCATATTATTCAACATGTCCTGGCTCAGCTTTCAGGAAGTCGGACTGCCTTTAAATCCCAGTAGCAATTATCAGCATGGACATTTATTTTCTGGTACAAATACCTTCCTTTTGGGGGCTGGAGCCATTGCTCAGTGGTTAAGACTGCCTGCTACTTGTCCACAGGACACAAGTTTGGTTCCCAGCACCTACATCTAGCAGCTCACAATCATCTGTAACTATTCCAGGGGATCCAACAACCGCTTCTGACCTCCAAGAACACACACACGCATCCACATAAATAAATACTTTTAAAAAGATTATAAGTATCTTCCTTTCTATCAATTTTTGGCTATTGTTCTTACATATTTTTAAAAGTAAAAATTCTGTATATATGGCTTAATGTTAATAATAATGAAACATGTTTGTGCATTCATAATGAGACACGCTCTTGATCAGCTCATCTTCTGTGGTTACCTACAGAATAGAGTGATGAATCATAAAACATTTTCCTGCTTATCCCCAGACTAGGAATTTAAATGGAGCAACAGACTAAATGCATTTCGACTGCTCTCCCTGTTGCTGCTCTCCAAAGTAGCCGAGTCTGTGCAGCCTTCCACCAAGTGCAGCCCTAACCAGCATGGAAACTAAAAGAAGTATCAATGCTTGCATCTCCAAAGAGCCAACACCTACAACCCATGATCAATGGCGAGCACAACTGTGCTTTTCAAGTCCGTCACTTCCGGCACGTGAGTACAGTTTGGACCCCCTCCCCAGTTCCCTTTAATCTGTCCCCCCCTCACTTCCGGAGCCTTCAAGAAAAGAAAGCTTCCACGATGATTGATGATTTCCTTCTACGTTAGCTCTGACCCATGCTGAGGTATGTTGTTTATCAGAAAACGTGTGTGCCTTCTCTACACATGTGAGCAGGTATGTGGTGAGCGACAGAGCAGGGTCCCTTCCTGGGGGAGTATTAGTCTACAAAGGGCATCTACCCACTTCTCAGGGTTAGCTGTAAAGTCACACGTGGGAAGTCACCTGCTCTGCATGATGTAAGGGACACAGTGATTCCCGATGGCTGAATGGATGCTACCAGGTAAGAACTGTTGGAGCACAGTCAGTCGGTAGAATTTCATGGGTCTTCTCAATTGCGGTTCCCCTGAATTACAGAAGCTTGACCATACCCACACAAGGCCCTCAGTACTTACTTGTGGACTCCAGGCGCTTGACATCCCTCGACGTTTCTAAGAAATACCTCCGCAGAACCAAAAAGATGATGGCGAGTGGGACCAAGGGTATTATAATCCAAGGAATCACGGCAGCTGCCACAGCTATCACGCTTACTACGAGTAACAGGGTCTAGAATAGCAAACACAGAGACAGGCAGGGCCTCCTTAGCAGGAATTTTGCTTTTCAGAACCAGATTATTCTACTCCCTCCTTCACAAGGGCTCACTGGAATTGCAGAGACTCCTTCCCCACCCAGGAAGTAGGAGCAACTGATGCCACTATTAACACACTATTAACACACTTTTACCCCCTCCACCCCCCACCACAACGCCCTGGTCACCTCCGGCACTGAATGCTTTAGATTTCTTCCTTTGACACTCTCATTACCACAGCCAATCAAGCACAGGTGGAACCTGAGTCCAGATTCCCCAACAACTATGCTAAAGGCTTGGCGTGGCCATGCATGCCAGGGCTACCAAGCTTCGGAGAGGGGTGGATTCCTGGGGTTTGCTTAATCAGTGTGAGCTCCAGGTTCAATGGGAGACTGTCTCTAAAAATTAGGTGGTAAACGATTGACGGAGATGCCTGATTAGACTCCTGGTCTGCACACACACACACACACACACACACACACACACACACACGCCCCACACATGTTGGGGGGGCAAAGACTCATATTGAAATTAAATATGTAAATACACTCCTATGTTCGTTATTTTCCTGCAGCTCATATTCTAATTGGTCTTAATAATAAAAACCCCAGTTAATGCTGAGAGATCAGAGAAGCAGAGCCGTCAGGCACTAGTTTTTACCTCTACTGGATCCTCAGACTGAATGCTGTCTCTAGGAAACCTCAGGCTGAATGCTCTGAGCTCCTGTCTTCCATTCCTCTCTCCACCCAGCCATGTCACTCTGGTCTCCACCTCCCTAGTGCTGGGATCAAAGCTGTAAACCACCACTCCCTGGCTCTGTTTCTCTTTTAGACTGGATCAATCTCGTGTAACCCAGGCTGGCCATGAACCGACAGAGATCATCCTGCCTCTGCCTCCTGAGTGCTGAGGTAAAGGTGTGCGCCACCACTGCCATGGCTAGCTCTGAATGTGATCTTCAGCAAGCTTTATTTGTTAAAGTACAAACAAATATCCCCTTTTCAGCCTTTCTAAACTTCCTTGGGTTTCTGATGGTTATATCAGCCTCCTCCATGGTGACTGGTCCTCGGCCCCAGCTGATAGAGACTAACACCTAGCCTAAAAAGTTCAAAGGTGCTTGCCGACACAGTATACCAATTCTTGCTAACGGGGCAAATGTTTTTTAAGTTGGAATGTGAAACTTTACAGGAAGTTTAATCCTTTACAACTTTAATCCTCCAAAGTGGCTTACAGAAAAAGGAGTTAACTTAATTCTACCAAATATGTAAAATCTTAGAACACAAAATGAAAGTTGGCTATTTTACATTTTGTGTGCCTGTACGTGCCAGTGGTAGACCCCACCAAATCTCCTCAGAAGGACTTACTTTAAGGCTTCTTGTGGCAGCACTTAACAGTAACGTCAACCCTCGGGAGGCTGAGACAGGAGGGACCCTGTGAATCTGAGGCCAGCCTGGGCTATATATATGGATCCTGCCTCTAAAAGCAAATGAATGAAACTAGAACAAAACACACAAAGGTTTCCTTTAGAATATTATATTTTAATAATACAGATTTTAAAGCCATTCTCTTCATTAACAATTTTAAACACAAAGACCTGTTTGGGTGTTTGGTACTTAACCTCCCAACTGCTTTTAGCTCTGGGGATGTTCGTAGGCATCCACCTGCAGTTTACTTTAAACTTAATTCCACAGGGTTCTGTTGTTGCCAGTCTATAGGATGCATGTGCCAGAGAGTATGTTTCCTATAAACAGTAGTAAAAATGTAGTCTAATTTTATCTGAACCATCATGCCATCTATACTTCTGGCTCACCCCATTCCGTATTCACACGCTGTCTCATACCTGTCTCAAACACAGAGTAAAAATACATGTTCACTCATAATGCTACTTAGTCAGTACACGGCACTTTTCACGATTTGTTTACTGTATTAAAAATAAAACCAGGCTCAAATTGCTCACATGTCAGTGCAACCAGAGGGCTTTGAACTCTGCTGTCGGCGCGACTGCAGAGTCTGTTCCAAGTTGCCATGAGTGTGCGCTGCCTGGACTGCCTTCTGCTCGAATGATTCTGGGAGATAAGTCCCAATGCAGCCAGCAAACCAGCCTTCACTTCTTGGCAAGATTTCTCTCTGATTTGGCAAGGGGAAAAAAAAAAAAAAAACGATGGCCGGGTTTTGATTACTGAGCTGTTTACTGATGTATGTATAAAAGGGACTCTTTACTATTTTGGAAACATGTGAGATAAAAGAAATTGATCTCTGAGTGAAAAAAAAAAAAAGGTAGCACACCAAATTGTCTGCTGGGTAATACAGGATTCTCAGAGTGGCATTAAAAGTCTAAACAGCACACAGAGTCTGAAAAGCTCTAAGCAATAAACATGTAATTCAGATTACCTATCAGATTAGATCCATCACCCCCCCCTCCCCTCAGTTACAGGACGTGTCCAAGCACAGGGGAAGTTCTAAGAGCTTTCCATGTAAGCCCCAACGCCTTCAAAGCTGCACCGGAATTCCAACCCCAGAGACACATACAAACAAAACTGCACCCTGTGTGCCACAAAGTTCAAAGGTCAGTTCTGGTCTCCAGGTCACTACAGAACCCATGACCTCTGCTAACAACTATCTCTGTGAAGGCAAACCTTTACAACACAGTATGTGGCATTCTACATACGCCTCTCTGCGACAAAGCTTTTAAGACTGCAGACAGCCATCACTCTGTCCATGCGCCATTTCGCTGGCTGATGTGACCATGTCACAGGCAGCCTGGGCCCTGTGTTACCCGTCTGTTAGCTCTGTAGTCTAAGTCAAAGCTAACAGTACTGACAAGGATGGCTTGTGGGTTATAATCTGTTTACTGATGAAAAGTTTCCTGTTGACCTTTCCCAGTGTTGATGCTTACATAAAACTCAAGGCTTCAACTTTTGGATACAAGTTAGAAATAAGGTTATATAATGGTAAACACAAGGAACAAAAAGACTGTCACTACTACTGTGAACACCAAAGCTTTTAATTCAAGCTCTCATAAAGGAAAACATTTCATCAGGAAAACACAAGGGTCACGAGGCTGGAGAGATGGCTCAGGGGTTAGGAGCACTTCCTGCTCTCAGAGAGGACCGGGGTTGGTTTCCAGAAACCTGCCTGAGCCTCCAGGCGACCCAATGTCCCCTCAGGCACCTTGTGGCCTCCACAGGCACCTGCATTACTTGTGCTTAGACACCCATCGACACAAACACACATAAAAACAAAGTCTTCAAAAAAAAAAAAAAAAAAAGGAAAGAAAAAAAAGTTGGGTCAAATTATCCAGGAGATAAACATAAATCAATTTACACAAACCTAAAAACAGCTTCAGAATGTGAAAGCAAAATCTTAGTGTTTAGAAGAAACAGAGAAAACCCAGACACACAAAATCAGACACGCTTATTTCAACAACTAACAGAACCAACCAACAACAACAACAAAAATCAGTGGAAATATCAGAGTCTGTGATGACCAATGGCTATGATGCCATTACCAGTTCTTTTCAAGTACAAATCTGCCATGCCATCAAGCATGTACCACAGACCTCAATGGCCACAGTGCAGAATTCATCGGACTTTAGTGGTTGAACAATAACATAGAAACAAGGTGACCAGCAGGAGATCCCAGTGTACAGCTCTAAATAATACCAGCTTTACAAAGACACAATAGAATGAGAGTCCTTGGAAAAGAAGGTGAAAATCACACACTGTCAAAGTCTGAAAGCTGCAACTAGTATTCCGTTTGGAGGTACATGTATAGCTTTAACAGTTGTTTTTTCCTTAAATAAGAAGGAACCCTAAATACCAAAAACTAGATCTCAATATAGAAAGGAGGGTGGGCAGATGGCTCAGTGGTTACAGCACCCGACTGCTTTTGGAAGATCCTGGTGCAATTTCCAACACCCACACAGTGGCTCACCACCATGCGTAACTGCAGCTCCAGGCCACGGGACACCTACTTCTGACCTCTCCATGCATCAAGAATACAACTGCTGCGCACACATAAATGTAGGCAAGACCCTCATACCCATAAAAGAAAGACAAATAAACTAAAGGTATTGTAAAAGAAGACTTGAAAACAAACGGGCAGCAACAGGACTAAAGAAAAGAAAAAGGAAAAGACCAGACACAGTGGCACAGGCCTGTAAGGAAAGCAGCTGGGAAGCAGACACGGGTGGACCTGCTACAAGTTTGGGGCCAGCTTGATCTACACAGGAAGCCCCAGGCCAATCAAGGCTACACAGTGAGAAGCTATTTTTTTTTAAAAATAATAGCAATAACAAAAAGACAAAAAAATAATAGCATAAAAGAGAATGGAAAAATTTTAATTATATGTATATACATATACATAAAGCCTTAGGTCTTTTAAAACACTAATGAAATTAGTCGTCTTCAAAGCTGTCGAGACAGAAGGAAAATTATCACTATCGAGTATCACAAGACGCATCACAGGCATTAAAAAGGGGTGATTAGCGGCTCAGTGTTACCATGTTTGATGTAAAGTCCCGAGGCCTTGAGAAATGGTGTCTAAAGGTTACGTTAAAAGAAATGGCCATCTGAGTGATTCTATTTCAATTTGAGAATCAGCATTCATAGCGTGAAAGGAATTACGTCACTACCCTCATATGAGGTGGGGGTTACAGAGATGTACATGATTATTAAAATGTGAGCTAAAAGGGAGGCAAAGTACATCTAGGTAAGAATACTGACAGGGTAGGAAAGAAATGGACACCACCCAGCATTCCATTCCCGCGCATGCGTGGGCGGGGAAGGAGATCCATCATGAAGACTGAGAATGAACTGTTTGTGCCTCAGGACAAACAGTTCCCGAGCACAGGGTGACAATTCTCTCAGGGACTGGATCTTACACCATCTCCTTCAAGACTGAATTCGGACGCCCAGCAAAGACCCATCAGGTGCCAGGGAGAGGACTTGCTTTATAAGGAGCAAGTTAGAAAATTCTTAAG